GAAAAAAAAAAAAAAAGAGCCTTTTCCACATGGACTTCGGATGCTTTCACCCCTGCCAAAGAGTAAAATCCTAGAATAAAGACAAACTAAACTTGCCACTATCTCACCCTCTGAAGGGGACTGTGGGAGTGTTGCCTTGGAGCTGAACAGAAGGAGGGGAGGAGCTGCAGGGCTGGATGAAAATGAAATCTTTAAGAAGTTGTAAACTTAGGCAGGTACCTCCTGAAAATCTGATCCAAGAAATCTCAAGCAATTCATTTAGTTTAAGGGGGTTCTAAACAAATTGTACTCTCAGGCCTTAGCACAAGCGAAGTCAATCCTCTTTCGAAGAATACAGCTTCATGCCAAGGCTTGGGAAACCCCCACAAATAATTTTCAAAGGCAATGAAGAGTTGTGCAAACATAACACAAAAGGAAATAAAGAAACATGAAAAATACCACCAAAAACAACAGAAGAGATCTATGAAGTCTCCACATACTGGAATTACCAAAAACAGATTATGACCAACATGCTTACTGTTCTCACAGGAATAAAGAGGACAGCTACAGTATGAAGGAAGACAGAGGATATGATTCACAAATCTATACTAGTACACTTGAGAAGTTAAACAAAATGGACAAACTTCTGGGAAAATGTAACTTATCAAAACTGACCTAAGGAAAAATAGACAACTTGGACAGACTTATGACCATTAAAGAAATTGAATTCATAATCAAAAATAGAAAACAAAGTAACAAAATTCTCTCTCTTTCTCTTCTCAGGGCCAGACAGCTTCCATGGTCAGTTCTACCAATCATTCTAGGAAGAAACATACCAATCTTAAGCAAACACTTCCAGAGCATTAAAAGAGAGAAACTATGTGAGAAGCGATACACTGTGACTCCTACTACAAAGCCAACATAACCTGGATAGCAAAATCTCATACAGGCAGTACAAAGAAGAAAATTTACAAGCTAATTTCTCCCATAAATACAAATGAAAAAAATCCTAAATTATTAATAAACCAAATTTAAAAACATGAAGATACTTCACCATGACCAGTTGCATTTATCCCAGAAATGCAAAGCTGCTTTAATTGTAAAATACAATGACATGAAGGGATGGAAATAAGACCATATTTATGCACGCCCATCTTTCTGTGTACAAATACAAGAAGAAACATTTGAAAGATGTGCAAAAAACTAATAAAAGTGGTCACCAATAGTTGCTGGGGAAGAAACCAGGAGAAAAGGACAAAGGTGAACTAGAGATTTTTGAGACATGTGAACATATTACTGATTTTTAAATTTAAAAAATCAATTAGGGGTGCCTGGGTGGCTCAGTCATTAAGCGTCTGCCTTTGGCTCAGGTCATGATCCCGGGGTCCCAGGATCGAGCCCCGCATCGGGCTCCCTGCTCCGCCGGGAGTCTGCTTCTCCCTCTCCCTCTGTCTGCTGCTCCCCCTGCTTGTACCTGCTCTCTGCCCCTCTCTCTCTCTCTGTGTCAAATAAATAAATAAAAATCTTTAAAAGAAAAATCAATGAACATAACTTACCACATTAACCTAGTAAAATCACATGAACACCCCAATAGATGCGGGAAAACCACGTGACAAAATTCAGTAGCCACTCAATATTAAGAAAAACTCTTGGGGCGCCTGGGCGGCTCAGTCGGTTAAGCGGCTGCCTTCGGCTCAGGTCATGATCCCAGGGTCCTGGGATAGAGCCCCGCATCGGGCTCCCTGCTCAGCGGAGAGCCTGCTTCTCCCTTTCCCTCTGCCTGCCACTCTGCCTACTTGTGCTATCTCTATCAAGTAAATAAATAAATATCTAAAAAAAAAAAAGAAAGAAAAACTCTTAAGCTAGGATTAAAAGGGAATTTTCCTAATCTGATGAAATATATCTGTGAAAAAAAAACAAACTACTATCACACTTATGTGTGAAATGTAAATTATTCATCAATTAGAACAAGACCAGAATACCCACTATCGCTTCTGTTCAACATTATATTGGAGGTCCTATCTAAAGTATTAGGGCAAGAAAAAAAACAACACATATAAGGATTAGAAAGAAACAAAAACTGCCCCTCTCTGCAGATAATATGGTCATGTATGTAGAATTAATTTACACATTAATTATTAGAATATTTATGAGAATTTAGCAGACATCTTAACATAAAAATCAATACATAAAAGTTAATTATATTCATATATACAAACAATCAGAAAACAAAAACTTTAAAATTTTTTACAATACTGTAGAATTTTAAGTATCCAGGAATAAATATCAAAATGATATACAAGATTTTTCAGAAAAAAAATTATAAAACTTTATCATGAGGCAATTTAGACCTAAATATATGAGAAGACTTTATCTTGGAATGCTGTTAATTCTCTACATACTGGTTTATAAACTCAATACAATACAAAAAACGTTCGCAGGCTTTCTTAACACAGCTTTATAGTATGCTTCTAAGAAATGTAAAAGGCCAAGACTGGCTGAGATACTCTTCTAGAAGAACAAAGTGGAAGGACTTGCTCTACCAGATATTAAGACATGTTACAAAGCTATGGTAACTAAGAAAACATGTTTTTCACACAGAGATACACTAACAGGTCAATGGTAGAGAATAGAAGACCCAAGAAACATATTCACAGGCATATGGACAGGTGGCACAGCAGATCCATGTAGAAAAGACAGGCTTTTCAATAAATGCTGCTAGAGCAACTGGCTACCTGCAAGAGGAAAAAATGAAATTGAGCTCCTATTTCCACTATGGGAAAAGCAATACTAAGTGGAACAAGACACGAAAAGCACTAACAATAAAGGCAATTATTGATAAATTCTACTACATTAAAGTGAAGAGCTTCTACTCAAGGCACAATTTTAAAAAACAGACTAGAAGATATCTGCAACCCACAGAAACAACAAAGAAGTCAGAATACATTTCTATAAATTAATGAGAAAAATACAACCTAACAGAAAAATGAACAAAAAAACCTCAATGGGGCACTTCACAAAAGGAGAGATACAAAAGATACACAAAGTCCTCAGTAACTAGAGGAATGCAAATTTAAACCACAAGAAGATACCATACATGTCCACAAAATTGACAAAAATTTTAAATTCTCTAATAGCAAGTGCTGGTGATGATGCAGAATAACAGGAACTCTCACACGCTCTTCATGGCAATGCAAACTGGTACAACCACTTTGGAAAATAGCTGGCAAAATCTGGTGCTATTTAAGATATGCACAGTCTGCGACCCAACAATCTCAATCCTAGGTTTACATTCCATTTCATGAACAAGAATGTCTATACCAACATTGTTTATAATAAGCAGAAACCTCAGAATCTGGAAATCGAATGTTCATCACTGATAGAAGAGGTAACTTGTGGCATAGTCAAAAAATGGAATTCTACACAACAATGAAAATGAACAAACCACAGCTCCCACTGGATGAATCTCACAAACACAATGCTGAAAAAATGAAGCAAAACCCAAAAGAATGCACAATATGACATCAACTGTGTCAAGCTCAAATAAGTTTAGGAATGCATACGTATGTGATAAACTATAAAGATAAGCAAGGAAATATCACCACAGAAGTCCAGAAAATGGTTACCTATGGGGAAGGGAAATGGTTATAATTGGAAAGGGCACAGGTCTTCAATATTGCTAATATTCTTTGTCTTAATCTGGGTAGAGGTTACATCAGAATTTGCTTTATAATTTTTTGTTAGACTGTGTGTATGTTTTTATATACTTGGTGTATTTTACAATAAAAAAAGGAAAATTTCAACACAGGAGATGTTCATTAGCAAAGTATTTGTTATCCCAGTGCAAGTAATTGCAAGGTTGCTTAGGGAAACAGAAATCGTCATAACTGGTCACTCTGCTCAAACTTTCCTCCCTGGTTAACTCCAGCAATTTCTCTGACTATAAAGATCCACAATGTAAATAAAAGGCGAATCATTTAAAAATTTGTTGGCCCAAAAAAGATTTATTAACGTCTACAACTTTCCAAACACTGTTCTAGGGGATCAGCAAGGTCCAAGATAGATAAAGGTCCTGCCCTCCTGCCAAAGATGGAGGACACAGGAACTCCCGTTCCAAGTTTGTCTCCAACCTCTCATCCTCCTTTCCAAGTAATTATCACACATGAAGAACCTGAACAAAATTGGGGGCACATATGACCTTAACACAGAAACCACCACATGTCAGGGGGTCTCTTCACTACAGAGGAACCATCTGCTTGGGTTCATCTGGCTGAAGCACGGTTTCCCATATTCTCAAGTACGCAAAGAGACTGCCTTACCAAGTCAAGGCACCAGTCTCAACAATGGCGATGCTGTGGGAATTGGCTTACATGGGGTCAAAACTCCCAAGGAATGCTTTAACTGGGATCCAGAGACCAGAGGCTCGCAATTTTCCAGAAATTGTACGCTAGGTTTCATGCGTACATATATTTCCCATCGGGTCGGAGTCCAGAACTTTCAACTAATTCTCAAAGTTCAACCAAAAAGAGGGTATAAGCACTGCCCTCAATAAGTTGAACAGACTAGCCTCTTAAAAAGGTCATGGTGAAGGCGAATGTGGCCACAACTAGGCCACCTGAGTCGAAACCCAGGTGTCCAGACCTCCAGGCCTATGCTCCGAATGCCCAATACTTACTCTTAGCTCTTCGAAGGCTTCGTCTAGGGTGGAGAGCTGGTGGCCCTGGTGAGTCCCAATGACAGGGCACAGGACACAGATGAGTTGCTTATCTTCCTGGCAATAGGTGCTCAAATCGAGCCCATGGTCCGGACACTTCCTCTTGGCCACTCTCTCTGCTTCCATTTCTATTTCTGGGTCAAATTCACTTTCCGCCTCCGTTTCTCCCTCAGCCTCAGATTCTCCTTCTTGGTTGTCTTCCTCTGCTTCGCTCTCTTGCTCATCCTCCATTTCTTCCTCACTGTCCTCTTCACTCTCTTCATCGCTCTCATCCTCGCTCTCTTCCTCCGTCTCGCTCTCTTCTTCGGATTCACTGTCTTCCTCGGACTCGCTCTCCTCCCCCACCTCGCTCTCTAGGTCCCGCTCATTCTCCACCGTGGCCTCAGCTTCTTCCTTGGCATCGCCCTGCGCCGGGGCTGCGGCGGTCCAGGCCTGGGCGGCGCCGTGGACGTACTGGGCCAGGTGGTGGCTAGGGAACTTCTGCCTGTGCGCCTCGGCGTGGCGGTGGCAGTAGCAGAAGGCGCACTCTCGGCACACTTCCTCGGCCCCCGGAGCCTCGTCGGGCTCGCACTCGTCACACGTGCCGTCGTGCGGCAGCTCCTCGAAGGCCGCGCCCACTCCGGAGGCCATGTGGCTGCGGTGACGCGGCCCAGGCCGCTGGCCCTGGAGCTCGCCGCCGGGCTTCCGCGCGGCCTCCTCCCTACTTCCTCCCCGCCCGGGTCCCGTCCCGGGCACTGGCCGCGCCGGGTCTCAGGGCAGGCTTGGAGCCGCGGCGCCGCTGCCGCCTGCTCCCGCCAGCCCCTGCCCGCCCGAGAAGCGAGGGACCTTCCCGCCGGCTCGGCCGCTCGGCTCCCGCTGCGCTTCCTCCGGCGGCACGGGCACTTCCGGCGCGGCGGCCCCGCGCCCCCGTCGGCCCTCGCGCCGCGCGCCGCCCTGCTTCGCGCTGCCCCCGACGAGATCGGCCGCGCCGCTGGACCCGCCGCCCCGGTTCCGCTTTCCCTTTCCCTGTCAACGGCCTCCTTTCACTTCCTGAGTCATTTAAAGTGGCAAGGGCCCTTTTCCGCGTTCCCCGGGGGTTGGGAGGGGGTGGGGGGAAGGGGGCGCTCGGCCGCCCCGGAAGGAGGGGGAGGATGGAGGAGGTCTCCCGCTCGCTCCGGAGGCGGGGTCAAATTCTCCCACGGCCCTGGAAGGTGTCAACCTGATTTTCAAGGCCGCTAGGCAGGTGTACGTGTGCATTTCAGTCTCGGTCCTTCCAGTTTGTCGCCGCCCGTCCCAGTCCCCACCGCCAGGTGTTCTGCAAGGTGCCAGGACTGAGTGTTGTTTTTTTGTTTTTTTGTTTTTTTTTTTTTTACCAGACTGAACCTGATCGCTTGGGATTTTCAGAGAGCCCCGGGAAGGGTTGTGTTTGTTCTCCCAGGCTCAGGGAATTTCAGAGTCAGGCTCTGCAAACAGACATTTTCGATCCAAAGCAATACTACACTTTGTCTGTTTGCAAAGTCTATTTGCATTCCTGCTTCTTAGGGGCTTGGAATCTCTAGGGTGGCAACCTCTGCCTTTTTCTGAGTGCTTGCCTTGGGTTCCTCTGAGATGTCAGGTGAGGTAGGTGGGGAGAGAGGATTTGTCCAGTCATTTTCCTTTATGTAAGGAGACCACCTAGATCCAGATTGGGTTCCGAAAGAAATGAAAGGGACTGTTATTTATTAACCAATACCGAAGTGCCCAGAATCAGGCCAGATCTTTTTGTGGCAATTTAAAAGCTGGTTTTGGAAGATCCACTGTTAAGGGTTCCCAAATCCTGGTACCACAACTTAATTGGTTTTGTGACCATGGAGACGTTAATTGATCATTCTGTTTTCCACTTTTTAAAAAGATATGTAAAATGGAAATAATGGTAGTATCTACCTGATGGGGCTCCTTTGTGGATGAAATGTAAAGGTGCCTGTCTTCTGGAAGTATTCACTAGGTTTTAATTATTATTATTGGCACAAATTATATTTAGTGCATATAATGACCCTCTGAAGGAAGTTTTAAACATTTTTTAAAAGATGTATTTAAGTAATTTCTACACCCAGCGTCAGGCTCAAACTCACCCCCCGGAGATCAAGAGTTGCAGGCTCCATCACTGAGCCAGCCAGGCACCCCCTAAACTTAATTTTTAACACATTAGGCATTTTTGGCTGGCTGCTGGTAGTATAAGCAACCCCTAAATCCACCCCATATCATTTGTGTTTGTATTTAGGAGAGGAAAAGGACATTTTGATCTAGTCCAGGGAGAGGCTGAGGTGTGGTTGAGCAGATGGAGGGGAATGGAGTAGTATCTGTTTTCCATTGATTCCCCTTAGGTAATTTTGAGCTAGCATTTCCTGATGATTTTCCCCAAAATGCTAGGGCATGGGGTAGGACAAAAATCATTTGAAATAATTTTCATTGCCTCCACACATATAATGTATGCTTAATCCGTGTGAGGCTTTTGTCAAAGATTTATGTTTTTGAAATCTTTTGTTTTTTTTTTAACCTCAGAACAATTCTGTAGAATGTTGGGCTGTTGGGCAGGGGGTGGGGTGGAATCAGAAGGTTTGTTTTGTTCCAATTCCATATATGTTTGTATTTTCTCCAGTTCATTTCTTTGGAAATTAATCTATATCTGCATTTGAAACAGGGATTGATGCACCATTCTGGAAAAAAAAAATTCAACAAATGTCAACTCAAATATCAACATTAATATACCTAGTGAATAGTGAGTGTTTCTTGCTTAGTTATTTCCACCACCCCAGGCTTAAAAGGAAATAACGGGTGATACGAACATAATGTTATCACATTTAGAAAATATTTTTTCAATGAAAACAATTTTTTAATGTCTTAACAGAAGATTTTTATGTCCAGGGTGTTTGGTGGGGAGGGACAGATGTCTTTTTGTTGTCATATTGTTGTTGTTTGTTCTTAGTTTTATCTGATAGAAAGTGAAAAGATCGTACTGTGCTGTTCAGTATCTAACACTTCACAATCTTTCTTTGAATCCTCTATGGTAAGATGATCTTAGGGGCAGAAGTTGATGGAACTGTTAAAAAGGGACTTCATAAAATTTTGTCAGTGAGGTATGGCAGACTCAGAACTTCTGTACCCCTCTGCACAGAAATCAGAATGGTATGATTCCCCAGGAATCTTTGGGAGCATCCAGAGATAGAAACTTTGTTATACTAATATATTATTGCATAAAAAATTACCTCAAAAAGTAGCAGCTTAAAGCAATAAACATTTATTATCTCACACAATTTCTGTAAGCCAGGAATATGGGGGTGGCTTAGGTAGGTGGTCTAACTCCTGATCTCATAAGAGATTCCAGTGAAGATGTTACGTGGGGCTATAGTCACCTAAAGGCTTAACTAGAAAAGTAACATTTGCTTTCAAGATGGCTCACTTACATGGCTATTGGCAGGAAGCCTTACCACTTTCTCTTGGGCTGCTTGAGCGTCCTCATGACAGGGCAGTTGAATTCTCCCAAAGCTAGTGATGATCCAAGAGAGGGCAAGGTAGAAGATACAATGTCTTTTATGGCCTAAGCTCAGAAGTCACACATCATCAGTTCCAACATAGTCTATTAGTTACAGAGATCAGCCCTATTCATTGTGGGAGGATACTACACAAGGGCATGAATATCAAGAGGCAGGGATCTTTAGAACCATCTTTGATGCTGGCTACCATAGTCTGCCCTTTGGTCTCTAATGATTCACATCTCTCTCAAATGCAGTATATGTTTACTTCCTCCCAAGATCCCCTAAAATCTCAACCCATTACATCATCAGCTCAAAGTCCAGAATTTTATTATTTAAATCAGGTGAAGCTGTAGATGAAGCTTCTGGTGTCTTAAATGAAGCTCCTAAAATATATAGTTCCTCTTCATCTGAATAATTATGTTCCTGCATCCAACTTACGATGGTGGGGCAGGCTTAGGATCACTGGTACAGACACTCCTGTTCAAAAAGGAGAAAAGATAGGAGACACAAAGGAGTCACTGGTCCATAGTAAACCTGAAATGCAGTTGCACAGGTTAGAAATTCCTTGATTAGGGCTCAGTCCTACTCATGCCAGGAAATGGTTCTCCATGGCTTTTGATTTTACTCTTTGGGCTCTTGATTCCACTCTCTGAGTCATCCTTCCTTTTCTGTGAAAAGTAGCCCATATTTGCAGCTATGTAATTTATCAGTCCACTTCCTGCTAGTAGAATTTAGGGGGTTGAAAGGCTCCTTTTCATTTTGTACTGTCTCTGTCCCCTTTAGTCCACACTGGCAGTGTTTCTCCCAATACAATTTTTTTAAAATTTTGTTTTGTTTTGTTTTGTTTGTTTGTTTAAAGATTTATTTATTTATTTGAGAGAGAGAGAGAGAGATTGAGAGAGAGCACGAGAGGGAAGAGGGTCAGAGGGAGAAGCAGACTCCCTGCTGAGCAGGGAGCCCGATGTGGGACTCGATCCCAGAACTCCAGGATCATGACCTGAGCTGAAGGCAGTTGCTTAACCAACTGAGCCACCCAGGCACCCTCTTTTAAAATTTTGTGAGTCTCCTATGACTGTAATTGAGCCACCACTCCATTGCTCAGAAGCCATACCCACAGATCTCTCTGGGATAAGCCCTTCTCTACTCTGAAGAGTCCCTCTGCAGAAGCTGCTAAGGCACTACACATCAGCTTCTTTGAATCCCTGTTGTTTGTCTGAATGATCCTCTGAATCTCTGCTGTAGGTCTTTTTAAGGTCTGAACAAAGGGTTTTATAGCTACACTCTCAGCTTCATCATTTGACGATGTGCTCCTTGCAGGATCCTAGAGTTTATTTTTGACTGGAAACCATTTCTTCATTTTAACATTATTCCTCATCTAGAGAAGATGAGAATTTTCAAGTCTAGCAAGTTCTGGATTTTTCTTTTTAGTCCTTCTCTAGAGTTTCTCTTTCTTCTCACATTTTGCTATAATAAGGAAGAAAACATCGGTCAGCACCTTCAACACTCTACCTGGAAATGTACTTAGCTAGAACATTCAATTAATTAGACACATTTTCTACCTTCCACATTCCTACAGGTGACAGTGTTGCTAAACTTCCTGCTCCTACATTACAAGGACTCCTTTGCTCCTGTTTTCAATAACATTTTCCTTATTTCCCCTTACCCCTTCATCTACAGCTTTCTCGAAAGCCATCAGGATTGTCCTCACGGTTTCTTCAAGACTTTTCATGCTTTCACTAACACTCTCCCCCAAGTCCTTCCAGCTTCTCCCACTGCCCAGTTCCAAAGCCACTCCAACGTTTTAGGTTTCTGTTACAGAAGCACCTCACTCTTCATAATAAAATATGCATTCATTGTAAACTCGTGTATAATAAATTACCCCAGAACTTTGAATCATTTTGGGGGCTGTCTTACTGGCATTGGTGCTATCCTGCCATTGTGGTTCGCAATAGCTGGAAGGCATCTCCAAGATGCTCCTGCGGAGAACAGGGCAGCTTGCATTTGATACTGGCCAGGGAGAGTGTGTGGGACTTGTAGAAATAAATGTTATATTCAAAAAAAAAAAAAAATGAGGGGGTCTGTTAATTTATGTGGGTGATAGCTCTTCAATTATTAGACATTTAAACTCTAGGGGCGCCTGGGTGGCTCAGTCGGTTAAACGGCTGCCTTTGGCTCGGGTCATGATCCCGGGGTCTTGAGATCGAGCCCCATGTCGGGCTCCCTGCTCAGTGGGGAGTCTGCTTCTCCCTCTCCCTCTGCCTCCCTCTCTGCCTACTTGTG